ACAGTGGCCCTCGGGCCCGGTGCGGAGGTGCTGGCTGGTGTCCCCAAGCTCAGGTTGCCGCGAGCTGCGCGGCCGAGGCACGGAGAGCTGAGCGCCGTTCAGCCCGGGGTCGTGGTGCTGTCCGTCCTGGGCTCAGCTCCCGCGTCCTCAGCGTATACTGGCCAAGACGCACCAGCCAGACACAGACGGCACAAAGTCACGTTCCGGCCTGACCGACCGACCCAAGTGTGAGTGGGGGCCGGCCGGAAAGTAGCTCTGCGTTTCCCCACGGAAGTCGCTCCGGAACCCGCCAGTTGGGTGTTCAGTCACTTCATAGGCCAGAGCTACAAATAACGAGAACCCCCGAAGCTTGGCTCAGCCCATTCAGTATGAAGGAGACGCCTTGAGCTGCCTTTCGGGTTGTTTAGTTTGCTCATTGCCCGCCCACCCCCCACCCTGGTCCCAGATAATTCTCACCACTCGTACCCTGAGTGTCGAGATGTTTGCACAACCTCCTTTATGGAGTTTGCAAAGACTTGCCTAAAATCACTAGGGTACACGGGGGGCCTGGGCGGCTCTGTCGGTTAAACGTCTGACTTCAGGTCAGGTTATGATCTCGCGGTTTGTGGGTTTGAGCCCCACGTCCGGCTCTGTGCTGATGGCTCAAAGCCTGGAGCCTGCTTCGGATTCTGTGTCTTCCTCTCCCTCTGCCCCTCCCCTGCTTGTACTCTGTGTGTGTCTCTCTCTCAGAAATAAAATAAACATTAAAAACAAATTTAAAAACTCACTACAGTACAGTTTGTTTCTTTAGAAGAGGGACCACCAAGGAAAGAAAGAATTTAATTACACGTATTTTAGAAACTGTTCCTTGAGTTCATTCTGTTCATGCATCAACTCGTCGTTCAAATTTGAGCCTTCTATGCTTAGGTATTGTTTCTTACATGTAAAAGAAATAAAAAGCACGTAATGTAATTGAGAGGAAGAAAGGAAGGGAGGGAGGGAGGGAGGGGGATGGGAGAGAGGAAGGAAGGAAGGGGGGAGGGAGGGGGGGAGGGGGGGAGGGAGGGGGGGAGGTGAGGAGGGGGGGAGGGAGGGAGGGAAGGAGAGAGGGAGGAAGGAAGGAAGTTAGGAAGGAGGGAAGGAAGGGGAGGTGGTGAGGGAGGGAGGAAGGGAGGAGGGAGGGAGGGAGGGAAGGAAGGAAGGAAGGAAGGAAGGAAGGAAGGAAGGAAGGAAGGAAGGAAGGAAGCGGAGATGGAGGGATGGGGGAGGAAGGGAGGGAGGGAGGAAAGGAAAGGAAAGGAGAAAGGAGGGAGAGGAAGGGACTCGATACACAGGAAGTCACCCACGACTAAGCCGCACCATGACTGCAGCGCTCTGAACAAGGTGTCCCAGGGGCGGCACACCATTGCCCCCAAGCGCTCCAGGCCAGGCTCCTTGAAAGGAAGAGAACTACCCATCACCCACGACACCTCAGTTGATCAGGACGCCTGAGTTTGGGTTGTCCACAAAGCAAAGCCTGAGACAAGGATCTGGGAACAAGTATTTCATCTGAGAGCGACCCCAGGGAGCACAGCCAGGGAGTGGGCCAGCGAGACAGACGAGGAGGACGGATAGCCGGTGTGTGAATGTGACGACTGTCCCCTGAGGCCCTCCGAAAAGCTGTGCACGGCATCCGGAAGTGCCCTCCCGCCAGGAGCTAGGGAGCTGGGGTGCCCACCCACCACCCTGTCTGCGCTGGCGGAGGGCCTCTCCCAGGGCGTTAATATGCGTGGGCCAGGGACATGCCTGTGGCACAAGAATGGACTTGGGCAGGGGACACGGGGAGCTGCTAGTGAGTGTAAGACCCAGCTGTGGGGACCCCCCGGTAGGGCCAAGGGGATATGGGTGGGGCACTGATGTCTCCATTTTATGGATGAAAAACGGGAAGCCACGTGCTCAAGGTTACCCAACAATAACCGGGAGAGATGGTGTAGTAGTTACGTTTGCTGTGTAACAAATTATCCCACACCCTAGAAGATATAAGCAGCAACACTGATGATCCCCCATGGTTTCTAAGGATCAGGAATTCAGGAATGGCTTGGCTGGGTGGTCCTGGCTTGGGGTTTCCCGGGAAACTGCAGCCATGTTGTCAGCCAGGGCTGACGTTATCTGAAGGCTCGATTGGGTTGGAGGATAGGCTATTGGCAGGAGGCCTCAGCTCCTCATCAGATGGGCAGTGTCTTCAATACCCCAATGTAGAAAGAAACAAGCCGTCACCTCTGCTGTGTCCTACAGGTCATGCGGACCAGCCCAGCACAACACAAGCTGTGAATACCAGGACAGTATCCATCAGGGGCCTGCTTGGAGGCTGGCCACCGTAGATGGGGTTCGAACTCCCCTTTTCCTGTCTTCAGTGACCATATTCCTTTTGTTACACGCGGCCATATTTTCGTTTTGCAGGACAGGGGAGTATCTTGTAAAGGCAATACTGAAACTCAAATCTGCGTGCTCTGGGAGGCTTTGGTAAGCTGTGAGGTCGTGCCCTCCTCCTTATCCAGCTCCCGGGAAGAATGAGCTCACGCTTGTCAAGGTAGGGGTGGTGGGAGCAGGAGTGAGGATACAAGGCAAAGTTGTGAGACCCGCCTGGGATGGGCCGTGGAGTCCCCTCCCCAGCCCCCATCCCACACCATGCTCAGGGCTGGGTCGAGCTGGACTCCCGTTGAGGGGCTACTGATTTGGATTCCCTTATGGGCTGGGCCCCAAGCCGGAGATGGGCTCTAGAGGACCCTGGGGTGCTGGGACGTCACGCTGCCCTCAGACCACTCATGGGCTGGACTCTCTACGCTCCTCTTCCAATAAATTCCGGAAGGACCACCAGGGCTGCGCTCCCCCTACCTCTTCAGCAGAGCTCCAGGCAGGTGAGCGTGAGGCCCTCGAGCCTGGATCACACCCAGCCTTGTGCACACAGCACTGGGGGGCCCTCGGGACCCTGCTAGCTGCCGAGGGACGCAGGCAGCGTGGGTATAAACTTCCAGGGCTCGAAACCACCATGCAAACAATAAAATACAAGTTTATTTAAAGTGAGCTTTTCTTCAACTTCCATTCCCTCCAGTGAGAGGTTTACTCACAGTGTTGGGCGTCCTCGGTGGTTTCAGCCTTGGTTTTAGGTTTCGATTGCGACGTTAACAAGTCACCCAAAAACTCAAAGGCTTAAAACGAAAACATCTATTTCTTATTTTTTGCAGTTCTCGTGGGTCACAAAGTCACGAGGGGTCTGGCTGGGCGTTTCTGGCCACAGGTCTCTCATTCCCACACGGCATGTGGGCCGGGAACAGCAGGATGGGGCAGGGCCCACTCCACACAGTCTCATGGCCTCTCCATGTGGCCTCCTCACCACATGGTGACCTCAGGACAATCAGACTTCCCTGCATGGCTCTGAAGATCGAGTGTTCCAGCATGCATGGTGGAAGCTGTCCCTTCTTCTGTCAGAGCCCACCCAGATGCAAGAGAGGAGACAGACTCTGCCTCTTCCTGGGCATTACAAGCTTCCAGAAGGTTCCAGAGGGTTCCAGATGGCTCCAAAGGGTGCTCGGAAGTCCCTGGGAGCCCCGTATTCCCACCGGGTCTCTGAGCTCACAGACCTCTGCTGCCTTCTCCACACAGCCTACTGCAAAGGAAACCTCGCTGCTGCCCCTCCTACTCAGGGGCCACAGAAAGCACAGTGAGGCTGCCTCAGACCATTGTGTCCAGCCACCTGCTTAGCCTCTGTTCTGCTGTCCCCACACCTCAGTGGTGAAGAGGACCCCTCCCAGGTTGGAAGGAAGGCAAGCATCCCCTCTATGCTCAGATCCAGAACTTTCCAGAAGATTCTACCCTTCTTGTCCACCCGGTGGAGGACGTGGGGTGCAGAAGCCTCTTTCCAACTGGCTTCTCACCCCAGATTCAGAAATATATTTCCCCTGTTGTGACACCAGTTTGGAGATGCTGACTCCACGGTACTTACACCAAATTTCGCCGCCTTCTCTCCAGGCTTTAATTCTTTAAAACCTAAAATCCGATGATTTGATTTGATGTTCCTATCCCCCTGGGCCAAGGGCCACAAGGGGCGGGGGTGGGTGGGTAGAGTCCTCAGGCTATAAGTGACAACGTTCAGGGACAAACAGAGAAGAGGAGGAACCGGGTGAATTCTCCACAAAGTCATCCCTACACATGAGTGATCTCATTTATTCCGTACCAGTTACCAACCTTCCTTTACCGAGGAGGAAACAGATTCAGGGAGAGCCGAAGCGACTGGCCCGAGGTCACAGGTCATGTAGTACCAGAGTCCGAGATCTGTGACTTTCCACTTGGTGTCGCTCAGATATTTCTTGAATAGACGAACAGATCATTCCCAGGGTTGTCTGGGCTTCTCCCTGTAACCCAGTGCTCACATGACAACACAGGATCTGACCGAAGGACGATGATTTGAAAGCAAGACTGTTACGGACGATCTGGGCATGTGGGTGCCACGCTGATCTGTATCGACACCGACACAATGGCATGTCTTTAAGCAGCCACGTTGAGTGGTACTAAATTTGCGATTCCTTCCCTTTCTGGGTATTTTCAACCATGCTGTAATTCTCCTGTTGTGCGCAGTGACCGCTGTTAGCAGGAAGTGGCCCCGTCCTGGGCGAAGCATCAGTACTCATACAATATAGCCCATTGAGCATCCATAATGCACCTTTTAGATGTGTGTTTTCTTCCCACTCAATCTACTTTATTTAAGCATTCTCCACTTTGCACGCCATTAACTATTTTTCTGTTCTAACCCTAGTTTCCCAAGGTCCCTGGTAAAATGTCATATAAATGAACACACAAACCCAGTAAATGTGTGACCGGTACAACAAATGAATCACTTTACCGGTGTTCTGGATCGAGATGCCCCGGGACAGATGCAACATATTCCAAAGCGAGAATCGTCGCGTGAAGCGACGCCCCCTCCATGTGCCTTTCTCTCTCTTTCACGCGTGTCTTTACACCAGTATCGCTGGTCCTCTTTGTAGAGCCTCGGGAGCCCCGAGACACAGCGTGCAGGACGAGGGAAGAGAGTGATCGGCCGTCGGCCCCCCAGAGGCCCGCGCCTAACTGCCGAGCCAGCAGAGCCGCGCGTCGGACCCCCGGAACTGAGGTACGTCGACCCTTCGTCGGCAGTAGGCGCGCTTCAGACACGGGGTCCGGGCCCACGTGGGTGGGGTCTCCGCGGCGAGAGGCTTGTATCCGTTTCCTGTGGCTGCTGTAGTAAACCGCCACACACCGGGTGGCTTTAAAGGAAAATGGAGATTGCTTCTGCCACGGCTCCGGAGGCCGGAGGTGCAAAACTAAGTGCTGGTAGGACCACACTCCCCTCCAAGGCTCTAGGGGACAATCCGGTCTTTGTCCCCCGGCTGCTCGTGGCTGCTGGCACTCCAGTGTCTGCTTCCGTGGCCACAGTGCTTCTTCCTCTGCCGCCCCCGTGTTCCTTGTGAGGGCACTTGTCACCGAAGTCAGGCACCGTCGACATAACCCGGCAGAATCTCCTCATCTCGAGACCCCTCTTTCCATCTGCTGCAAACACCCTTCGTCCAAATAAGGCCACATTCACAGATTGTAGGGATGAGGCTGTGGACGTTTGTTTGGGGGCCACCATTCAGCCCACGACGCATCTTCACTGGTTTAGGGTGGGGCTTTGGACAGGGAGACCGTACCGGTGATGGGGTTTGGGGGTGGTGGGGGCGGGTCTGGAGCTGACCGCCAGGAAAGAATTCTTGAGACGTCTTTGGTGCAGAAGGACTTTGATGTCATCAGAGCACAGGGTCAGGACCCCTGGGCAAAAAGAGCTGTGCTGGGGTTGTGAGGAGTGACCTGGGAGCTGGGGGAGGTAAGGAAGAAGGGAGGTTTGCAAAAGGACTTTCATATGCTACAGAGATACTACAAATGTGTCTGTTTACTACAAGATACTGGAGGCCTTGTTATTATCGGGCTAAGGTTGTTTTCCCTCTAGTAAAGCATTAACATTGAGACAAGACAGTCGGGAGTTAATTGGAGGAATGTTATACTCTGACTATCTCAAATGTTTGTCAGTGGGCTGCAGGTTATAAAGAAATTTTATTTTATTTTATTTTCGTCTTACCTTTGTCCCCTACATCACTGTGGAGGGGAGGATGATGTGGGGGCTCCAGGAAATTGAGTCTGTGGGTTTCTGGAGGTTCGGCTCTTGGTAAGATTGCCTTTTTCTTGTGATGTACTAAGACCTTTGTAAACTGACGGAAGCTCATGTTCTGGGTGACTGATCTCTGACAGTTAGCCATTGGTTTTTCCCTTGCTTTGTCCTCGGACAGCTGCGAGTATCTGAGGAATGTCACACATACCCCACCTGGCAGGGGCGGCGTGGGGGGGGGGGGAGGTTGCCAGCTTGCGCTTTGCCCCCACCTCGCCTTTGGCCCCCTCATCTCTGGGATTGTGCAAAGTTCTCGACGTAATAGTTTAGGTTTGGTGGGCACAGTAAGGCAAGGATCTAGAAGGAGTTTTGGTGAATACAGTTGTTTGATAAGCAAATGTCTCACCAGTCGAGCAACCTCATATGTTAGAAAAAGTCCGTTTGGGAAATCTGTGGTTCAGATAACTTGGTTTTGGAGGAGTTCCTGAAGCAAACGATACCAAAGCGAGACAACTGTTGGCATCGGGCATGAGATGGGGTCTCAGCACCAACCCCAACAAGGAGCGTCCCCGCTGAGAAGGGCACTGGCCAGGCTGTGATTATCCTAGCTGGGAATCACCTGCGGATGCCCACCGAATCCTGGGATCTGGACAAGGACCACTGCTCAGTGGACGCCAGCCAGAAAACGCACATAGGGAGAGGCAGCGCCTCCTACTGGAGCCCGGCAGGAGTGAGGCCAGGGCGCTCCCTGACCCAGTGCCCTGGGTGGGGACGCCTCTGTACCCACAGATGCCTCCTTGGGGGGAAGATGGAGACATGGTGGAAGATGCACGGTGAAAATGGTGTTGAGAAGTGCCCAGACTAGGAAGCTCCGGGCTCGCCAGAAGGCACCCTAGAGCATCACCTCCCTGCTCCACCAGCAGCGGCCATGGCTCCCTGGAGCAGGTAACCCAAGTTCCGCAGTGTTCTGGAAAACACCTGGGCCGTCCCTCCGCCCCGAGTCCGCCCTCTCTCTACTTTCCCAGAGAGTCTCTGTCCTTGTCCTCTTGGACAATACACATCCAGCCCAAGACACCCTTGGTCTTGGGAGCATTAGAGCTTGTCTGGCCTTTACAAGTCCACTGTCTCTGGCTCATCAGCCACAGGGATTTCTTTCTGGAAAGGCAGAACGGTGTCACCACTGCCCACTTAGCTTTATCTTGAGAAATGGGTCACGGTGTCGCCCTGAGTGCTACTGGAGCCCAGAGGGTGGTGACATCCCTTTATCCCGTGTCCGAAGCTGGAGTGGCCTACAGATCTAATAAGACTGTGCTTGGAGATGAGGCCACTGTCCTGCATACTTTGTGTCTCCCCCAAAACTAGCGTCCCGAAGGGAAAGGATTAGAATCTGCCGGGCCTCTCACTTGCGTTGCTAAGAAATGCAAAATGATTACAGTCACCAAAGCACTACTTACGGGATGGCACTTGTAAGATCCCTGGTGGAGGGATCGGAGTGGAGTGAGCAGTTTCCGGGGCCCCAGAGTTTCCAGATCCCGCCACAACCTCACGCGTCGTCTCTGGTTGCTCCGATCTGTGACCACGGGCGGCTCCTCACCAGGTGTGCTGACAGGTGTACTGAATCACGTCTCCCCGAGCCCCTCACTCCTACAGGCGGGCCTCCCCTTCTGACAGGTGGGGGGCCGGGCGGAGCCTTCCAGCATCGCTTGGATTCTGTATCCCCAGACATCCTAACACCCAAGAGAGAACTCGAGGACCGACACGCCCCGCGCCGTCATTCGAGGCTGCCGTGAGTTTCCACTTAGAGTCACATTCCTGGTGTTACCAACCTCTCGACAGCAATTACTTTTCCACCACGTGGCTTTGCTCACAGTAGAGAATTTTCCCCACGTGCAGAGGACACCGAAGGAGCAGTGCCGCGATCTCTCAGCATCGGATTTGGTCAAGACTTAAAGAATAGTTCTCTCGTCCGTCAGTAGCTGGGTGGTCTGTAATGTAAATGTCTGTGTTTTTTTTTAATGTTTAAAACATTTTTTTTTGAGAGAGAGGGTTGGGGAGAGAGAGAGAGGGAGAAGGAGAGAAAGAGGGGGTGGAGAGAGAGAATGAGAGAGAGAGAGAGAGAGAGAGAGAGAGAGAGAGAGAGAATCTCAAGCAGGCTCCGTGATCACCGCAGATCCTGGCATGGGGCTTGATCCCACAAACCATGAAATCAGGACCTGAGCCGAAATCAAGAATTGAACACTTCACCGACCGAGCCACCCAGGCCCCCCTAAACTTATGTTTTAAATGTACCACTTGCTCTGGAGCCTACATGTTCTCAGCAGCACTGTTCCCAGTAGAAAACGTAGAAACACCCCAGGTGCCCGGGGACAGAGGAATGGATGAACTGAATGTGGTATATGTGTTTTATATATGCTGTTTTATAAATAGTATGTTCCATTTAAACATATATGTATACATAAATGGAAGATTACTCAGCCTTCAAAAGCGGTGAAATTCTGACACCTGCTACCACCACATGAATGAACCTTGAAAACATGCTAAGTGAAATAAGCCAGGCACAAAAGGTGAATCCTGCACGATTGTGCTTCTGTGAGTTCCAGGAGACATTGATTCACGGACAGAAGGTTGGTGGTGGAACCAGGGGCTGAGGGGGGTGGGGTAGCATGTGATCGGGACAGGGTCTCAGTGTGGAAACACTAAAGGGTTCTGGAGACGGATGGTGGTGACGGACAGACAGTGTGAACGTGCTTAATGCCACAGAACCCTGCACTGAAATGTGGTTATGATGGTAAAATTTATGTTAGTGTCTCTTGCCATAGTAACATTACGGGTGGTTATCTGTGCGAAGCGGGACTTGGGCGTAAGGAGGACTGGTTTTGAGGGTAAGCCTTGTGATACTACGGTATTTGACTTTTTAACCACATGTCCATAATACTTGGATAAATATTTCAATTAAAAAATCAAGCACAGGGGCGCCTGGGTGGCTCAGTCGGTTGAGCGTCTGACTTCAGCTCAGGTCGTGGTCTCACGGTTTGTGAGTTCGAGCCCCACATCGGGCTCTGTGCTGACGGCTTGGAGCTGGGAGCCTGCTTCGGATTGTGTGTCTCCCTCTCTCTCTGCCCCGCCCCGGCTCATGCTCTGTCTCTCGCTGTCTCAAAAATAAATAAAACATTAAAAAAAAAAAAATCAAGCACAGTAAGTGATCTCTTTTAGTTGGAAGAAGAGGAAACACACCTAAGAATGTGGAAAACCAGCCATCTCTACCCCACGTCTCCCATCTCGCCAGCATGAGAAATCCCTTCTTTTTCTCCCCTCACGGAACTGGCAGAGTTGTGGATACAGTCTGGAGTGACCGAGCTCTTACATCCTTTTCTTAGGAAAAGGGAATGATTTTAGTTCACGTTTTTCAGTGCACGCTCATAAACATTGTCCGATTCGATGTCATACCTTCATGTTATGAGCAGGAAGTGTGTCTTCTCTTCAGTTACAGAATAAGGAAACCAAAAAGGACGGAATTTAGTGATAAATTCCTAGCATAGACTAGGAATTCCTCAGCGCACAGTGGAACCACCCATATCACAAAAGAGCAAAGTTTGCCAAATATCAGCGACCAACTCGCGCACAGTTGGCTGTAGACGTCATTGACCGTTAGCAAACCTGTCTGTCTGTCGTGCGTTTACCTGTCATCTGTCCTGTCTTCGTGCCATCTGTCACTTGTGTATCGACCTGCCAGCTACCCTGCCTTCATCTCTGTCATCCGTCTGTCTGTCTCTTCATCTGTCATCACGAGGGTGGCCACACTTCCCGATGTGCCACAAACAGTACCCGTTTACATCCTGTGTCCCAGGTTGGCGTTCACCTCGGATTCCCCACCTGGAGCAACACCTGCTGCGATGGCCGCGTGCGGAGGGCACGCTCTATGTGCGCAAAACCCGGGCCACCGGCGGTCCGGCCGAGCGCCAGACAGGCGTGCAGCGCCCGTGGTGATGACC